CGAGGTTTTCCCCGAATCTGTCCTCATTCTTGGGATGTCCGTGTTGTACCAACTAATATGCATGGCATGTGGCTGCAAAGGCCCTGGTGTTGAGTTTAAGGTCCGTCTGATGTTTGTTGTGATGCAACAACCATTTTTATAATAATTCGATTCGCAAGCAAACGTAATTCGGGTACACAAGCTCTGTCAAATGTGCAACTTTTTGATTAGCCTTTCCGGCCGGGAATCTCAGCTTTGTTTGGGACAAGTTTTCGGTAAGATACGAGTGTTAGCAAAGTGTAGAAATCGATGTAAATTAAGTTTATTCAGGTTTCACTACAGTGCATGGTTTTCGTAGTTTTATACGTTTCCATGCAGGTTACGTCGCTTGTCTCCCGAAAATTTCAATAAGCTTTAAACTCCAGTGGTAAACTTAGCTGTTTCCTTATTGTCTATTGTTTACTGTGTTGTTCAATCCGCGATTCCTTTGTTGACACTGGAACTAAAAGGGCTTTCTCGGATTCGCGTGCGCAATTATGAAAGCGGTTTTCATCAAAAGAGAATTGTCTCTTGGTTTTCATCAATCACATCTCTAAGGTAAACCCATATGTTCGCCTGTACTTCCTAACCAACGGTTACTACTAGTATACCTGGAGCCTGCAAAAGGTACCCCTTTCGGTCGAAGCCTTCCGATAAGTCATTTACAGGGAGTAACCCCCCCCACCCCCCCCCTTCCCAACCCCCTTCGGGCTTGTTAATTTTATTAATTTTGGTTAATTTTATTATTTGATTAATGTTATTTGCTTTGTGAACCTTTCTTTGTTAAAGCAACAACAAAATCCGAGCGTTATTACGACGACTTCACTGGCTCGTACTCTTCAAAGTTAACCTAAGCTGAAAGTCCACAATGAGTTGACAATGAAGGCTGCTCTATGTTATGTAAAGTACCTTATTTCAGGAAAACTGCAAGAACGTCAGCCACTCCAACATTTGCTGTTTAAACAAAGTAAAAACAAAAAGTCATGCTTCAATGTTCTTTGTAAAGTGCTTAATTCTGCCCTCAAAATTCATCGCCAAAAGCATTTCTTCATCGCCAAAACGACTGTAAGAAAGCTCAAAAACATTGCACCAAGTTTGTCACTTAATGACGTCATGGCAGACACCAACCCAGATATGTAACCAACCCTTTAACCTACGCGTGTTTCTGTCTCGCTGTGCGATCTACGCACGTTAATTCTTCACCCGATGCCACAAAATTATAAACCTCGGCCTCCGAAGCTTCGCGAAGAATAAAAACGGTAAATAAGACAGACTCTTTTGGTTCAGTTCAGAGTACTGCTTTGCCATAAGATGTACAAAAAGAAGAAAATCTAAATATTTAAAAAGCTAATGGGGAGGAAGCCCAAGGAAAACCACCGGGCTTATAGGGAATGGGCTCCCTCAGTTAAATTATTACAACAAAATATGAACAGAATTATCCATGCAAGATTCAATGACAGAGCTACAGTAAATCTTAAAATATATTAGATAATCGCATTAATCATAGTTAGGCTAAAAAACACGAGGGAAAAAACTGAGGAAGAAGATGAAAATGAAAAGCAGAGGTAAAGAAAATGATAAATGAATATTTATGATAACAGGATTGCTTTCAGCTTACAGCAAAAGGAAGCGGTCACGTACTACTTGTTGCATTTCAATCGAATTTAAAAACTAATTGGGACCTTGGTAGTCCTGCAATGTGGTACAGTAAAAAGCTCCCAAATTCTGGTGCCGGTAAGAATGCACCTGGCGTGTCATGAAAAACATATTATTGAAGCTACAAGAAAGTAAGCCGGATTTGTATTGATACATAAATTTTCCTTTTTGAAGTTTAAAGCTAATCTCAAGATTCAGAATTCCTAAATGTTTAATAAATGAAGGGTCAGTGTGAGCATCAAAAGCACTCCTCGACATAGTTCTTACAACCCTAGTTTTTTAAGAGTAGTTAATCTTCTGAGGCTTGATGGGTAGCTAGGTCGATGCGCAGACGCTCACGTAGTGGAATAAGTATGGGTAGATAAGGCTATAATAAAGTGTCCGTGAGGCAAAAACTTGATTTATGGATACTTTCCTTGCAACATTATGTATGTGCATGTAATTGCTCTAAGCGATCTAAGATAAAATATGCTGATTTTCCTGCCTGCTTGGCCGTCTTAAGCTTCTTCAAATGAGGTTTCCTCTTTTCAAGCGTCGCTTGCGAAAGATCTTCACAAATAAACAATTCCTCTGGTTTTTCCTTTCGCGCCTTTTTTACTACAGCGCTAACTACTAGTCGGCACACAACANAAACCACCGGGCTTATAGGGAATGGGCTCCCTCAGTTAAATTATTACAACAAAATATGAACAGAATTATCCATGCAAGATTCAATGACAGAGCTACAGTAAATCTTAAAATATATTAGATAATCGCATTAATCATAGTTAGGCTAAAAAACACGAGGGAAAAAACTGAGGAAGAAGATGAAAATGAAAAGCAGAGGTAAAGAAAATGATAAATGAATATTTATGATAACAGGATTGCTTTCAGCTTACAGCAAAAGGAAGCGGTCACGTACTACTTGTTGCATTTCAATCGAATTTAAAAACTAATTGGGACCTTGGTAGTCCTGCAATGTGGTACAGTAAAAAGCTCCCAAATTCTGGTGCCGGTAAGAATGCACCTGGCGTGTCATGAAAAACATATTATTGAAGCTACAAGAAAGTAAGCCGGATTTGTATTGATACATAAATTTTCCTTTTTGAAGTTTAAAGCTAATCTCAAGATTCAGAATTCCTAAATGTTTAATAAATGAAGGGTCAGTGTGAGCATCAAAAGCACTCCTCGACATAGTTCTTACAACCCTAGTTTTTTAAGAGTAGTTAATCTTCTGAGGCTTGATGGGTAGCTAGGTCGATGCGCAGACGCTCACGTAGTGGAATAAGTATGGGTAGATAAGGCTATAATAAAGTGTCCGTGAGGCAAAAACTTGATTTATGGATACTTTCCTTGCAACATTATGTATGTGCATGTAATTGCTCTAAGCGATCTAAGATAAAATATGCTGATTTTCCTGCCTGCTTGGCCGTCTTAAGCTTCTTCAAATGAGGTTTCCTCTTTTCAAGCGTCGCTTGCGAAAGATCTTCACAAATAAACAATTCCTCTGGTTTTTCCTTTCGCGCCTTTTTTACTACAGCGCTAACTACTAGTCGGCACACAACAACTCTAAGCTTTGCACCAGCTTGGTGTTCATTGATTCCTTCAGACTTTCTACGCTCAACACAGTGAGCGCGATCTATGTCAACTTCAATGTTGAGCTTCCCCTTGATGGCGTCCCGCACTTTCGTTTCAGCCATTTTCCAAGTCTCGCCTAAGTGCGTTGCTCAGATGCATTCAAGAGACCTACTTTAACGACTCAGACAAGGGGAATTCAATGCGTGACGTCATAAACTGGGACACATTTATGGGTAGACTCGAGACAGCTGGTTTATTTAATTTAGCCCGTGGTTGTCAGTAACGGTTATCGTTCTAAGTGGATAACAGTCTTACGCTAGAGAATTATTTTCGACGTCAACGTCAGGGACATAAGTGAGTCTTGTGTGCGCGACAAACCTGACGGGCTATTACTTCCCTGATTTGTTGTGATCTTCAATGAACATTAATGTTTTCTAGTCTTTTACAAGAAAATCTCTTTAATTATAGGGTGAAATTTGGCGGGCATTAAAGTTTTCAAACAAAATTGTTGTCAAGCTTGTCACACAAGGTTTGCCGTTCTCTTTCTTCTCCCGTCTTGTTTCGTAAGTTCACTACCGTCTTTATTTTTATAAAAGAAAAAACTCACCAACTGTGTTCCAGTTGGTGTAAGTGGACAGCTTGCTGTACAGGACGTTAAATTTGTGAGCAGCACTGTTTTCCCAAGAACACCATTTGCTTGAGGTTGACCCTGCAAGCCATCCCAAATCACTTCCACAACCAGCGTAGCTTCTGCTGATGAAAAAACTACGACATAGCCCATCGTCAGTGTGACAATCACCCTGAATTGTAAAGTAGTTTCTGGGTTCCGATGAGATGTCAGACCAAGAGGAAGAGGTCATTTTGTTGAATGAGAACCAATTCAGCTTATCCGTCCCAGCTGCGTTAAATAACAAGTCTTTCTTGCTTATACCACCTTCGTACAGTGTCACTCTCGCCTTTAAATAGAAAAGAGATCAAAGGAACTAAGTAGGTATATCACGAATAAATTATTCCCGATATGCAGGCTAATTAATGTTTAAAACACTCTACTCCTCATTTACTTAACATATGAAAATCCAAGACGTCCGAAGACCAACCGAGGCTTGCGTTTTAATCAATTCTGACCCGAAGTTAAAGTCAAAAAAATACAAAATTAACATTCGTTGCACCATTTATCGCAAACTGTACTCACTAACGTTCTTTTCGTTTGAACCCACGAAACGGAGCCTAGCTCTATTTTTGCTATTCCCTTTTGAGTTAATTTCCGTCTTGATTAGGTTTAAAATTACAATACCCATGCGAAAAAAAATTTCATGAGCATCCCGCCGAACGTAACCACAATAAATGGTGCAGCCCGCGGGGTGGAGGACGGGATACTCTCTATCTCAGGCTACTCTCTTACAAGAGGCTAATAGGGATGTGCCACTGGATGGAGTCGCATTTTCACTACTGGACTGACTATAATGGGGTTGCATTTTCAATAGAGTTTCTAGAATGAGGTCGAAAATTTTCGCATTTTTGGGGGGGTAAGTAGGGATTCAAAATGGGAAGACTCTCGGGTAAAAAAAATCAGAAAGTTGTTGTTTAAATTTAACAATAAGCTCGCATTGGCCGCATTACATTCCGCTGCTTGAAACCACATTGATAAGGTAGATGTATAGAAGGTGACTAAGTTGGGATCGGGAAAATTACATTTTCCAAAAAGTGACTAAGATGGGGTATATAATAGGCCAAAAAATAGACTATAATGGGGTAGGGGCTCTGAGAAGCCAGCGGCACATACCCAGCAAACATTAACCCAAGTACCACCCCCCCGACCTCCCCCGGGTGGTGCAGTAAAGGTGATGTTACCATTATACATATTGCAAGAAGAATTTAACAATGCAAAGCTGATCGTTGGAATCCGATCCTACCGATAAATATGCAAGCAATTTTAATACGGCTAAAGAAAAATTGGAACTTTTTTTATGAAAAACATCAAGGTGCCATCATTCGCGCACGGGCACGATGGCCATGGTGTGAACAGAGAAAAGAAAGAGTTCGGTGAAAAGAGAACGAAATATATCCTATACCAGTGGCGTAGCGGCCATTAAGCCAGGGATTAACAGGAATTTTGGTTAAAATCACGAGATAAAAGGTCATGAAAGTCGTGAAACTGCAACTCAATGTCTGTCTTCGCGATGGGCATGCAAAACTGGCATATAGTTCACTAGGAAAATCTGTCGGTGAGAGCCATCTTGGTTTTCAAGTAGATTCGTTGTAGAGATCCCCTATGTTCACTCCAATCATTTAGGTTAAAAATTCGTACTTTTGGACGGTCTCAAGCTATCTCAGCTCTTAAATACTGTTTAGCAAACTGTTATCTCCTCTTTGTTTTTGCTCTAGTTTTTTTCCTTTGGTTTTGTTTTTTGTGGAAATACTGGTCACCGCTTTGAAATATCAATTAACTAGCCTAGTGACTCCTAGAAAAAAGTTAATTTCATGCTTTAGTTAACTACTTTTTTTCTGCATTGATCGATGTTAAAATGCAACTTCGAAGAAACCAATCTTTCTGAATGAATCTTTGCTTGAAAATCGATCTAAAGACTAGCCTTGCTTTGCATTCTATTTTGCCGCCATAATTCCAATATTTCAGAGTCAGTAGAATGTATGTTTATATTAAACGGTAAATTTCATCTGAAACGGCTGCCGATCGCTTTCTTTTTCGTGGCAACTTGTTAAAATACACTGAATGAGGGGAACAGCCAACAAGGACTTCAATATGACTAGGGCTTAAAACCAAAAAGAGGCTAGCTACGCCCCTGTATAGTGTGTTTATTGCATAGTACTTGGCTACTCTATGCTTCTGCTGTGGTATTTTATTGCAATTAAATTAATGGGCCTCTGTGGTCTCTAAAACTTTCTCTACCAACCTGCGATGCATTGAAACTACTCCAGTTCATTATCACTCGGTTCTTGTAGTGATCCGGGTGCTGTTTTGTAACGTCAAGTGCTGCGGTTACGAATTCAGCAGACGTTAAGTCCGAGTTGTACAGGTCCCATACTTTCTTATTAACGCCGCTGACAATTTTGAATACCAAGGTCCAACCTGATAAAGGATTATATCACACAAACCATGAATTTAATTGTAAATGGTGCAAGAGTACCGTTGCCGTTTATACAAAGTCGCGCCAAAGACAGTTTTGGATTCTGGATTCCACGCCATGGACTCCGGATTCCAATCATAAGTGTGATTCCGGATTTCTTGAGCTGTATTCCGCATCCCAGGATTTCGGATTCCACAAGCAAATATATTATACGTGGGGTGATATAAAGTTTTTGATATGTTTGTGTAGAAACTATTGAGAATTTTTTTTAGGTCCCATTTGATCGTTTGCAAAGGGAGTCACGCACTTACTGAATTTTTTTTTCTTTTCTGACCACTCTTTTTAATCAAATCTCACGATCTCCGATATGGGCTATGCGAAAAGTGGAGGTGCACCATATAACGGTTGCTGTAGGAGGTTTGGGAGTAATCACTAAAGGTCTGAATAAGTCGCTTCAAAACATCAGTAAAAGGGTAAGATCAGGGCAGGTGCAGACGACCGCATTCCCTTATTATGAACTGCAAGAATGCAACGAAGAGTTCTTGAGATTTGAGAGATGACCAGACCCTTGTTTTCCTTGGTGAATGGCTCTTGTTACTAGCTGTAACCCACTCCAAGGGAATTTTTCCGGTTGACAGGCAAAACTGAGTTTAAGTAATAAATAACAATAATAATAACAATAACAATAATAATAATACACTTCATTTAAAGAGGATTGCATGAAAAAGCTACAAAAACTGACAAAAACTATTCAATTTGTCGATGACCCTCTATTTAAATTTACAACAAAAATAAGATGCATGCTTTATATGCAAAGTGTAAGTGAACATTAAATTAAAATGCATACTCAGTAAACTGAATAGTAAATATATCTTAAATATAAATTACAAATTTAACTTGAATCGATGTAAATAAATGAATTTAAGAGCTAATGATAAATTGAATACCAAACTATAAAATAGTGTAATTCGTCCAACTCTTTAAATAAGATATTTCTATAATTATCAAAAAATATAGGCTTCTAGTGATGACACAAAGATCTTCACAAACCTCCCGCAACCATGTCGCAGTAAACTGGAAAGGCATCTCGCAAACTTACTCCTGATAAAAGAAAAAAGAAAAATTCCTTTATGATGACGCAGAAACAAAAAGCTTGATTTAATAAACTCTGTTGATATGACAGAATGTTAAAAGGGCTGTGTAACGGCTGGCTTGTTCCTTTTGATGAGAGCAATTACACGCCCTTTTTCGCTATGAAGATCGAGAAATGATACGGTTTGGAGAGTACAAAATCACAGCTTCTTCTCTGTACAAATATGCCTCCCAAGCATGATTTTAAACGTTACAAATAACAAAAATGAATTTTAAAAACCTGTTAGGCTAACAAGTTTTCAAAACTCACAATTGCACTCCGTTTCAGCCGTCTTCACGTTTGACCATGCGCGCTTCCTTTTGCAATTGTATTAGCTTTGTTTTTCACTTTTTGTTGCGTTTTAAGCGTCGCAATTTGTTTATGTTTCACTCAGTTTGGTGGCGGTTCCCACCGTTTGAATTTTGATAAATTTCGTGACACCTCTTCTTTGATAAAGTCGATACTATTTTGATACCTGGTAGACGAATCCAGTAGACGCCGTCATTTAGCTGTTTTCCGGCTTTGTTTAGAATATCCTCGCAAGAATATCCAGGGTTAGTTTCTGAGCCGTAACTTTCCTCAAACTGTATAACTTTCCATTCGTTGCCCAAACACACATGAACTTTACCGCTGTTGTACTTCAATGCTCCAGCATGCTCTGGCCTATTACAGGCGCATGAGGCATCGCCCAGTTTGAAAATTGTAGGTACAGGTTGGTTACAATCAAGAGTCACATCGATGCAGTCTTGGCTGAGAACACTTACAGCCAACCAAGCGAGGCTTAAGATGCGAAAAGAGGTCAACATGTTGATGTTTTCTTCTTCTTCAACTGCAAATGACCGCAAATAATAAATGAAACCTATTTCTTAGTATGATTAGAGCCGATTCACACAGCTGTATTTAATCAGGTGTTTATTCTGTACCAATGTCGTTATGATTATGCTCATCTTCTAAATTGACCGTAAGGCGTTAATTTAAAAAAAAATTACACGTTGAAAGACAGAAATTACCGCAGTGTATAGAAGAGATAATTCGAATTTTCTGATCAAAAATTTAAAATTATGATTATAATTATAACTGACCAGCCTCAAGTTCAAACGTACGCGATTATCAAATGAAAGCTACTTCGTTAGCGTCCTTTTAGTGTGGCTTGGTTAAACCAAGTCACCGTCTATACTGGCGATATAAATTATAAGGCATATTTCCTACGAAGGCAGATAAACTGCTTTTTTTTGTTGTTGTTGTTCACTGTCCATTCTCGTCCCCTCGTTTCTTTTGATCACGTGGTCTTGGTTACAAATGAAGCTGAGTCAGCCTAGTGCCTAGGCGTTCTCGGCTCGGTATCCTGGGCCCAGTTGTTCGAATGCCGGTTAGCGCTAACCCGGGGTTAAATTTTAACCCAGGGTTCTTTTTTCTTTTATCAAAAACACACTATCGGATAATTTTCTCTATTCTTTTTAGAGTATCCAATCATCAAATTGTACTAGAGAATTAAAATGCCATGAATCGCCATGTATTACCATGTATTACCATGTATTGCCATGTATTGTCATTTATCGCAATGTATTACCATGTACTGCCATGTATCGCCATGTATTACCAGGTATTGCGATGTATTGCCATGTATCGCTATGTATTACCATGTGCTGCCATGTATCGCCATGCATTACCATGTGCTGCCATGTATTACTATGTATTGCCATGTATTACCATGTATTGCCATTTATTACCATGTGCTGCTATGTATTGCCATGTATTACCTTGTGCTGCCATGTATTACCATGTATTGCCATGTATTGCCATGTATTACCATGTATTGCCATGTATTACCATGTGCTGCCATGTATCGCCATGTATTACCATGTATTGCCATGTATTACCATGTATTGCCATGTATTACCACGTATTGCCGTGTATTACCATGTGCTGCTATGTATTGCCATGTATTACCATGTGCTGCCATGTATTACCATGTATTAACATGTATTGCCATGTATCGCCACGTATTACCATGATTTCGATGTATCGCCATGTATTATCATGTATTGCTATGTATTGCCATGTATTGCTATGGATAGCCATGTATTACCATGTACTGCCATGTATAAGCATGTATTTCCATGTACTGCCATGTATTACCATGTATTACCATGTCTCACCATGTATTACTATATAAAGCCATGTACTGCCATTTATTGCCATGTATTACCATATATTACCATGTTTTGCCATGTATTACCATGGTTTGCCATGTAATACCATGTATAGCCATGTATTGCCATGTATCGCCATGTATTACCATGTACTGCCATGTACAGCCATGTATTGCCATGTACTGCCATGTATAGCCACGTATTGCCATGTACTGCCATGTATAGCCACGTATTGCCATGTATTGCCATGTATTACCATGTAAAGCCATGTACTGCCATTTATTGCCATGTATTACCATATATTACCATGTTTTGCCATGTATTACCATGGTTTGCCATGTAATACCATGTATAGCCATGTATTGCCATGTATCGCCACGTATTACCATGTGCTGCCATGTATCGCCATGTATTGCCATGTATTGGTATGTATAGCCATTTATTACCATGTACTGTCATGTATAGGCATGTATTTCCATGTATCGCCATGTTTTACCATGTTTAGCCACGTATTGCCATGTATAGCCATGTATTGCCATGTACTGTTATGTATAGCCATGTATTGCCATGTTTTACTATGTATAACCATGAATTGCCATGTATTACTATGTATAGCCATGTATTGCAATGTATTACCATGTACAGCCATGTGATTCCATGTATTACTATGTATTGCCATGTATAGCCATGTATTACCATGTATAGCCATGTAATGCCATGCATAGCCATTTAATCCCATCTATTGCCATGTATTGCAATGTTTTACTATGTAGTACCATGTATTGCCATGTATTACCATGTATAGCCATGTATTGCCATGTATTGCCATGTATAACTATTTATTACCATGTACTGCAATGTATATAGCCATGTCTTACCATGTATTGCCTTGTCTTTCCATGTATTGCCTTGTATAGCCAATTACTGCCATGTATCGCCATCTATTACCATGTATTGCCATATATGCCCATGTACTGCCATGCATTATCATGTATTGCCATGCATTACCATGTAATGCCATGAAAAATCGGATGGGTTTATAAATTGAGGGTCTTCTTTTCTGAATTTTACGGTATTGTGCTAACTTGAGACTATAGGAAATCCTATTTTCAGATTTCAGATTTATTTCTGCAATCTTGCATACTGTGAATTTACGGGCGAGTCAGTGATGAAATTTTTGCCGGCTTAGTTGTCCTGAATTTTTAAATAAATTTTATGCCTTTAAAATTGTTATAAATTTTTTCAAATAAAGAGGTTCTGAATGGATGTTTTCTTGAAATATTCACTGTTCTTTACGCATGTACGAATGCCGATTTGAATTTAACAGTATAAGAGGGAACGACTAAGGGACTCATTTTTCAACTGAATAATCAATTTATTAATAGAATCTAGGGAGATATGTTTGAAATGTCCAGACTTTGACAATAGTGTATTTGATTCATTGGTCCTGGTGGTGGACTTAACCCTCCCCTCACAGCCATCCTCTCCACGCGTTTATTTATGTTTTCAGCGAGTCACTTCGAGTCAGTACAGGAATTGATAGTTCTGCAACGTGTGGAAAAATTGATGTTTTCGAAACGCGAACATCGGCTAAAAAAAAGATATATATATATATATGTATAGTATATGGTCTCGATCTTCATGAGTTCTCAGAAGTTCAAAGTGGATAGAGAGCGTTCGCCTTGTGTATGGGAGGTCATATGTACGCATCTTGCTGGGGACTCAGATGTTATACGAAACTTATAACTTCAACTGCGCTTAACGAGCGTAACTTTCAAAACAGCTGCTCCACAAAATGTCACTGATAACGCGTAACGCAAAAGGTAAACGAAGTATGACTAAAAAATTTTTAAAATTTTAAAAATTTTTAAAACTAAAGTAGTGAGCAGCACTCTGCGAACTGTTGCTGTAAAACTTGTTTATTCTCCTACGCGTTTCGTCTAACTAACGTAGACTTCTTCAGGGAGTTTTGCAATCAAATACTAAACGCCTGTATTTAAGGCATAATATGACTAAAAATAATGATGGTCGCAAACATTGAAGGTTTGGCCGGATTTACGAAAAGGAACAGGCGCAGCTGTGAAATTTTTGACGCAAGGCGTAAGAACACTTTGGGGCCACGGTTTTAGCTAAAACCGTGGCCCCAAAAACTTACTTACAAAGATTAGCTAATGTTACAGTAGCTTTGTAACATACGGTACAGTCTATTTCTGGCATAATCCTGTTGATAACATTCTTTTTTTTTTT